AATTTTAGGGGAATGTTCCCCGTCCAAGCATATGCTAATGGGCTCAAATCCAGCCCACGGGCCCAAAATTTTTCCCGCGCAAACTCATAACTCGGGGTTCTGAGGTTCTAGAAAGCTGAAATTTTAGGGGAATGTTCCCCGTCCAAGCAGATGCTAATGGACTCAAATCCAGCTTAGAAAGCTGAAATTTTAGGGGAATGTTCCCCGTCCAAGCAGAATAACTCGGGGTTCTGAGATGCTAGAAAGCTGAAATTTTAGGGGAATGTTCCCCGTCCAAGCAGATTCTCGGGGTTCTGAGGTGCTAGAAAGCTGAAATTTTAGGGGAATGTTCCCCGTCCAAGCAGATGTTAATGGGCTCAAATCCAACCCCCGGGTAAGCGTGGTACCTAACGGATGTTCCCAGTCCAAGCAGATGCTAATGGGCTCAAATCCAGCCCCCGGGTAAGCGTGGTGCCTACGTATCCGTCCAAGCAGATGCTAATGGGCTCAAATCCAGCCCCCGGGTAAGCGTGGTACCTACGTACAGGATAAGAATTTCCTCCGGGTAAGTTACTGACTCGATAACGTGAGGAGCTAGAAGACTGGAATTTTGAGGGGATGTTTCCTGACAGTTCTCGCGGCCAGTCTCAAATTCTTTCTACTAGAAGCATCTGCCGAAAAAACCGATGCCGGCGCAACAAAAACTGCGGGGAACTCTGCAAAAAACGCATCTTCGCACGGGCAGCCCGTGCGCTGGCCAATTGAAAAACTGCGGGGAACTCTGCAAAAAACGCATCTTCGCACGGGCAGCCCGTGCGTTGGCCAATTTTCTCTAGGTTTTGTGTTCTGGTGGTTACTATACCTCGGCTGGGCCATTACTCTAGCTTGTCTATCAACACCATTTTACGGCATATGTAGCCGGTACCGCCTGAAACTTTGCCAAAAGCGCTGGGTAGCGTTACCCAATGTTGGGTGCCTGGATCGCATGGCTGGGGTGGTGGGTGGGGGTTGCCCGTGCTTGGAGGTGTTGGTGGATAGGTGTCCAGATGCAGCCCTAGGGGGACGGTTCGGGCAGGACAGAGGAGAGGGATAAGGGTACTAGGCGGAAGTTCGGGACGATAAGTGGTAACAGTGTTTGGGGGTGGTGAGTGATAGGTGCCCAGTCGTCGCTCTGGAGACGGGATTTAGTGGCAGGATAGAGGGGATCAGGAGTACTAGCCAGGAGTCCGAGGCAAGAACTGGAGACAGCAGCAAAGAGGAAGAATCAGGACAGCAGTGCAAAAAGTAAATTAAAGAGGGACTTAACTTATGAAAAAAAGAAAAACGAAGAAAAATTAAAGCAAAGAAACGGAGCGTATGAATAAAAACTAAAGAAAGCAAGAGGAAATAAAGACGGAGGAAGCAGAAGTACCAAAAGGAACAGCATATGAATGAAAATTCTTTTATAAAAACCTATTTGTTTCCTATTTATGAAACTGATGCTTAGGTAAAGCTGAGAGCTCTCAGATTTACTTGCATGGCTTTTATTTGCTCTCAACTTTACCTTAGCGTATTGTCGAGGGTTGACTCTGTATATGCATCTGTACCGATTTTTTATTTCGAGACCTACAAAAGCTACAAGGCTGAAAATTTGGGAACATGATCTGCATGCCTGTGTGGGCCCCCATCCGCAAAATAGATACTCTTGCCTACATGGTCTTCGCGCATAGGCCCGTGAGAATTTTTTGCGGTTGACTTCCTAATTCAGGAACCTGAAAAGTTAGAAACCCGGAATTTTGAGGGAATGTTTTCTGACAGTTTTTGTGACCAGTTTCAATTCTTTTACCAAGAACTTGCGCCGGAATAAACAATGCTGTTAGCAACAAAAATTTGCGAGTAACTGCGCAAGAAACGCATCTTCGCATTGCAGTCGATGCACTAGTCAGTTATTTTTTAAACTATTTTTAGTCTAACAATTTTTTTACGATTGCATGATTATCGTTCGTACTTTCAGTCGTTGCAGGCTGGTTTTATTAGCAGTAACATCATGTTTTCCATTATTTAACTGAAATTCAGATCTCTTGATTATGGTTTACGACGCTGAGCAAGGAAATTTGATGCTGAGTGAAAACCAGCAAGAACAAACTTTTCGGCTTAAGCCCCGCATCAGTTTTCTTGCTGATCAGCATAAACGTGTATGAATCCCGTCCCCATTTCAAATTTCTAGCTCCAGGCAGGCTCCCAGCTTCTCCCCAGTCATTATTCCAGTCTTTCTCTTCTGTTACGACTAATTTTAATCTAAACTGTCATCCTTATCCTTCCCACCCGTTTCTTGCCCTTCTTCTGCCGTCCAAAGTGGGAAATTTCCAATTCAAAGTAAAAAATTTCCAATTCAAAATTTTAGAAATGTATTTAAACTCAAATTTGAAATCTAAGTTTAAATTTAAAAAAGTATTTTTAAAAAAGAATTTAAATTGAAATTTAGAAAAGTAGAGAATTTCCAATTCAAAATCACGCATAAGGCACATGCATCGTGAATCGCAACTCGTACCCCGACCCCATTTGGATATTTACTAAAATACGGCCACAGCTAGGCTCAACCGCACAAGGAGCACTCGTTTTTGGGTTCAGGTCCGGGTTGCTAAAATCTTGGTATCCGATTTTTCGCGTAGGCGAGGCTTTAAGAGGGGAAATCCCTTCCCATGGATCCCTCTTTCCTTGCAATTTCTACACCCGGATGGAGTTTCAGTCCTTTTGCAGTCAGTAACCTTTGCCCTCCGTCATTTCGCTTCCGAGACTTAAACCACATCACCACCCTCCCTTCGCTTCTTGTCTTCTCCCCCGTAGGTTGTAGTCATCGCAATTCGCCTCCCGATCGATTGAGCCGAGCCGAGTTCCAGTAACTGCTTAGTAGTTGCCTAACGGGGACCTCCTCCCCATATTTCGTTCGTAGAGGAAGGAGGGTGCGGCAATTTCAAAAACTCGGCTCGGCTCTTCTCATGCACGATTTGCAAAAAATTTTTTGTGCCAACGGTGGGTGTCCTTACCTCAGCATGGCATTGGACTTGGATGCTGCAGACGAAGTGTTGGTGGGGGAGGGGATGGTTTGTGCGGGTTACGGACACGAAGATGGCGCCTTTAGGGGTATC